AGGGGCTTCTTGGGGCCGAGGGCTGGAAATGTTGTTTCGTGTTCCCTCTCTTGGGGCGTTCTTGGGGCCCTCTTGGGCCGTCTTGGAGGCTTCTTGGGCCGTCTTCGAGCCCTCTTGGGCCATCTTGGGGCCCTCTTGGGGGCCTCTTGGGCCCTCTTGGGGCGATCTTGGGGGCCTCTTGGGCCGTCTTGGGGCGTCGGGAAGCCGAAAAGGTGGAAGCTCCAAAATCTCTCAAAAACCTAAGGAAAATCAATGAATTTTGCCTCCGGAGGCCCTCTTGGGAGTGCTCTTGGAGGCCTCTTGGGGCGTCTGGGGGCCATCTTGGGCGTCTTGGAGCGATCTTGTGGCATGTCGGACCCCTCGTGTACCATCTTGGGGGCCTCTTGGGGGCCTCTTGGTTTTGTTTGGGTCCTCGGGGACGTTTTCGGAGCCCTGTTGGTGCGCTCATGGGGCGCTCGGGGGGACCCGGCCGGGACCCGGCCGGGACCCGGCCGGGGACCGGCCGGGACCTGGTCGGGGTACTTTTCGTCCGGGGACCCCCAGGGGCCGCCCCGCGCGCGCGAACTAGAGAATTGTTAACCAGTTACCGGAGATCTTAGCACGCCTCTGGCCCGTTGGGCCGGCGAATACTTATGCTGAAAATAATATGAAGACGGAGGAGGCTGAGGAGGAGGAGGAGGAGGAGGGAGGAGGAGGACGAGGAGGAGAAGGTCATGAGATGAGATGAGATGAGATGAGACCATCACGATGTGATCAAGAACGCGCCTCGCCCCCTTGGCCTCGCAGCCGAACAAAACGAACACGTAGTCGACCGCGAAGGAGGCCAGGAAAAAGAGGATGTGGGGTCCCACGCAGCACCCTCTTGCTGCATCACAACGAAGTCCGAAACGTCGAACTTTACACCTGCTTGCAGTCGGCCCCCACACCAGAAGTCGCGGAAGGTGCGGGCGGGGCGGAATTGGCTATCTCCGCCGTGACCGCCGCGAAGCCACGGAACAGCTCGCCCGCGTTGAGATCTGGCTGCTGTGGCGTCTGCCCCATACTCGAGGAGCCGACCGCGCCCTCTGCCCTCGTGGCCACCTCCGCTGCACGCTCACGCCGAACGGCGCCGAATCGCCCTGCAGGAAGGGCTCCGCCACGACTGCGGGCCGCGGCAACGACGGTGGCAGCGGCGCAGCCACCGCCAGCGTCAGGGCAGCCATCCCCCCTTAGGGGCCCTCACGTCAGCGCCCGGCGCCCCTGCAGCGGCAGCGCCCACGGCCCCCTCGGCAGGGCAGATATCCCCCGTAGGGGCCCTCTGGGCGGCCTCCGCCCTGCGCGCACCCGCGGCGGGGCAGCGGCCCCCCTCTGGGGCCCCGTCGGCCTCGGGGGCCGCCTCCCCCACGTCGATGCGCTCCAGCTGCTTCACCGCCTCCGCGAAGTCGCACGAGGAAAAGACGTCGGATCGACACCAACAGCGGAGCCCTTGCCACACAGCTAGTCGAGTCGGCCGGGTTGCCCTCGAGAGGCTCCCAAGCTAGAGCCGAGGGTGAGATCTCAGGCGCGTCCAAGTTCCAGCAGAACGACTCGTTGCCCGCCTGCGCTCTGGCAGCCGTGCCATGGCGCCGCGCCTCGAGCCTCCCTGCATGCTTCTGGGCGTGGCTTAGTTCCGACTTGCCAGCAGCGGCCAAGGACACACCAGAGGGGCCCTCAGAATGGAGAACCACATTGCGCCTCAGGATGTCCAAGACGTCAGGGTGCACTCCAGCCAAGAGCGCCGTGAGGGCGGGGAGGATGCAGGCGACCCTCTCTGCCCCCTCCGCGTCACCGAAGAGGTTGTTCATCGCGGTCTCCAGCGCCAGAACCTTGCGGTCGGCCTCGCCCAACTTCACCTGCACCTTTGCGACTAAGCGGTCCGCTGCCTCTCGTGCTCCGTCAACACCGCGCAGAGGAGCTCGTGCCGCCGCTCGATGCCGTGCACGACGCTGCCGCCGTGCTGCAGCAGCGCTGACAGTGTCTTCCCGCCACACAACCCGGGCGGGTCCCGCAGCCACGCCAACCACGCACCCAGCACCTGGCGCCATGAGCTATCACGTAGAGCCAGGATGTTGGCGCGCGCGAACCGGCTTTAGCCAAAATGACTGCGGAGGAGGAGGAGGAGGGAGGGGAGGCAGAGGGATGACGACGACGATGACGATGATGACGATGATGATGATGACGATGATGATGCTGATGATGATGTTGATGATGATGATAGTGATGACGATGACGATGATGATGCTGATGACGATGATGTTGCTGATGATGATGCTGATGCTGACGGTGATGCTGCTTCTGCTGATGATGACGATGATGTTGCTGCTGACGATTATGATGCTGCTGCTGATGATGCTGACGACGATGATGATGATGATGATGATGATGATGATGATGATGATGATGATGATGATGATGATGATGAGGATTATGAGGATGATGATGATGATGATGAGGATAATGATGATGATACTGATGAGGATTATGATGATGATACTGATGATGATGTTGTTGTTAATGTTGCTGTTGATGGTGATGATGATTACCATGCTGATGCTGCTGCTGACGATGATGCTCGCGATGATAGTGATGATGCGGATGATGATGCTGATGATGATGATGCTGATGATGATGATGATGATGATGATGATGATGATGATGATGATGATGATGATGATGATGATCATGAGGGGGAGACGGGGACGAGAGAGCGAGGGAAGATGGAGGATGGGGGAGGAGGAGGAGGAGGAGGAGGAGGAGGAGGAGGAGGAGGAGGAACCATAGTAAACCTAGGGTGTGTCAGCGATGCTCCTGTACGCCTTCCCCTAAGAGGTTCGCTCATCAGAAGTTCTTGCAAGCATTCCTTTCCACGACGGGACCGCTTTGAAAAAGGGCAGCCCTCTATGCGTGTACATGTTGCACATGTGCACACGTCGCATTAACAGCAACAAGATCTCATGCGAGGGCCCGATCTCTGAAAATGAATTGCCATCTATCCGTGTAGGCGCTGCCATATGATATACATGTATTAAGCTTCTGGCCATGCGTTTGAGTAAGTCTCATGCACAGCCCCATTTGAAAAAAGGAGCCGCCCTCCACATTTGTAACACTTGGGCATTTTGAGACGAGCGTGAGCGGCTCGAAGGGGAGAGCCACATCATGATAAAGACCCGCTTTCTTCGCAACAGGCTGACAGTTTGTGACGATCTGCGCACGCTCAGGCGAGAGCCACATCTCGAACACGATTCGCCCGCCCTTACTCTATCGTAATGTTTAAGTCGAGTGTGCGCGGCGCCGAGGCGAGGGCTGCGTTTTGAACACGATGTGCTATCCTCTCTCGTGGCCGCTGGAAGATTCGAGCTGAGCCGCCGATGGTGACACAGACCCAGGCGCAACGCGCAGCCCGCCCTATGGACACGTCTCCTGTTGCTGCGAGGATGGGTTACTTATGAGCATGTCTGTGGGAGGCGGAGAAGGGAGGAGGAGGTGGAGGAGGACGCGGCGGAGGAGGAGCAGGAGGAGGAGGAGGAGGAGGAGGAGGAGGGAGGAGGAGGAGGAGGAGAGAAGGAGGAGGAGGAGGAGGAGGAGGAGGAGGAGGAGGAGGAGGAGGAGGAGGAGGAGGAGGAGGAGGAGGAGGAGGAGGAGGAGGAGGAGGACGAGGAGGACGAGGAGGAGGAGGAGGGCCGAGGAGGATGGATGTGGAGGTTGGAGAGGTGGAGGATGCAGAGGGGTGATGGTGACGAGGCGTAGGAGTAGGAGGAAAGATGACGCCGGCATGGGGAAAGGGACGGGAGTAGGACGAGGAGCCTGGGGCTATGACGCCAGGCCCTCGTTCTCTCCCAGCCAGCCGGAGCCGCCCGTCTTTCGCTGGGTGCCCAGGAGGTTCTGTCGACCTCCTCCTCCTCCTCTCATCCCCCCTCTCCCTCCTCGATCCTCTCCCTTCGTCCTATCCTTCCTCCCCCCGTCCTCCTCCCCCTCAGTTCGACGTGCACTTCGACCGGCTTCGAGCGGTCTCGCTTCCTGGCTGTGGAACTCGTGTGCCCGTGGAGCCTTGGCGTCGCTTTCCCTCTGGCTGGCACCAAGACGGCGCCCTACAGTGAAAACGCTCGAGAAAGGAGCAGCTCGGGATCGGCAGGGGCTCGCTGCTCCATGCGTCCTTCCAGTGTCGGTCCCCTAGCGTGAAGTCGGGCATGTGCCTCTACAGGAGGAGTAGTCAAAAATAGTCCAGACATAGTCTGGGGACGACTTTTCTATTGTGTTTGACCATGTTGGAGTATGTCTCGTCTATTTTGAATTGTTCGTCCAAAATCCCCCTGTGGGAGGACATGCCCGACCTAGCTCTAGCGCTCCTGGTGCACCCGGGAGCTCTTGGGGCCCAACGCGAGTCTTCTTGCCTTCTTAGGCGTTCGGTCTGGTAGCACGAGTGCAGTACCCCGCAGTTGCGCGGTGAAGGCAGCCATCGCCTGGGGCAGGCTCGCTCTGGGGATAGCGGCCCCCTGCGCGGCTCCGTTCAGACCTGGCCGTCCTCGCCCACGCCGAGCGCACGCGGGCGCGGGCGCGGCGGCAGGAGCGGTGCACCTGCTGGGGGTAGCGGCCGTCTGCCGCCCTCACCCCTGGAGCGCCGCCTCGCACGCGGCACCTGCGTAGCGCACTCGGGGCGTGCCGCAGGCCTGCGTAGCGCTTTCGGGCCCGGGGCAGCGCAGGCCCTCGTAGCACATTCGGGCCTGTGCTGCGTAGCGCAGGCCTCCTCCCTTCTCCTCCTCGCCTCCTCCCTCGCCACCTCCTCCTCCTCCTCCTCCGCCTCCTCCTCCCTCGCCTCCTCCTCCTGCTCCTCCTCCTCCTCCTCCTCCTCCTCCTCCTCCTCCTCCTCCTCCTATGCTCCTCCTCCTCCTATGCCTCCTCGTCCTCCTCCTCCTCCGCCTCCCTCCATCCTTGTTTCCTTCTCCTCCCCCGACGCCCACACTCCCCCGCCCGTTCCGCCCGAGGAGCAGGCCGACATCTTCGGCGGCGCGGTGCAGCGCGAGGCGCAGCGGGTCGCCGGCCGGAAGGTCGACGACACCAAGCTGGCCAGGAGGCGGGCCAGCCGAGACATTGTGGGTCGCGAGTCTCGGCCTCCCCCCCTTCCCCGCTCCACCTTGCCCTCTCGCTCCCTCCTCCCCCCTCTCCCTCCCTCCCCCGCCTCGCCTTCACCGCCTCCACTCCCGCTATACACTTCCTCCCATCTCCACTCCTCCCTTCCTCCTCCTTCTCCTCCTCCTTCCCCCCCTCTCTCTTCCTTCATCATCTATTCCTCCCCCTCCTCCTCCTCCTCCTCCTCCTCCTCCTCCTCCTGTGTCGCGTGCTGTGTACCCCGAGCGATTTCACCGAACGCTCAGCCGCCGTCTTGTAGCCTCGGATATCCCCCCCCCGCCAGACCTCGAGGCTCGCTGGTCCCTTCTGCGTGCTGAGCTCACCCGAGTCCGCCCCTCTTGGAGGTGGGCGGTCTGGAAGTCCCTGGCAGGTGGATGGACAACCTCGACTCGGATGCACGTTTCGCGGCACTCGCGTGATTGTATGTTTGGATGCGGAGGCTCCGGCAATATCAGCCGCTACTTTCGTTGCCCACGATTGAGGCATCACGTCGCCATGAGCTGGATGCGTCTTGTCTTTCCTGCGGAGCCCCTGCTCTGGCTCGGCCTCGGGAGTCCTTCGGAGTACGGCACGGAAGATTGTGAGCTGAGTCGAACCCAAACGCTTGAGGCAACCGCCCTAGCGTTCCATATGTACCACACAGCTAAAGATATCGTGCCTCCAGAGGCACGCCTCACATATAATATACAGAAGCCAAGCGGATTGCTGGGGCTGCGCGTTTGGCGCTTCGCGTCTAGTGCGGTCATCGGGAGCCCGCCCTCAGGGTACGTTCACTCCACCTCCTCCTCCTCCTCCTCCTCCTCCTCTTCCTCCTCCTCACGTCCCTCCTTCTCCTTCCCTTCCTCCCCGTCCTCCTCCTCCTCCTCCTCCTCCTCCTCCTCCTTCTCTTCCTTCTCTTTACTCCTCCTCCGCGTCCTTCTCCTCCCCCTCTTCCTCCTCCTCCTCCTCCTCCTCCTCCTCCTCCCCCTCCTCCCCCTCCTCCTCCGTCTCCTCCGTCTCCTCGTCCTCGTCCTCCTCCTCCTTCCTGTCGTCCTCCTCCATGTCCTCCATGTCCCTCTCCTCCTCCTCCTCCTCCTCCTCCACCTCATCCTTCTCCATTCCTTTCCTTATGAATAGCTCCTCCCTGTCACACCCCGAGGCAAGTCGGAAGGGCAGGCCCGGCGTTTCGGCTGATACCTCGTTGCCATTTATGAGCCTGAAGTCCAGAAATTGGCGACAGCTTCACAGATGGAGGGCGTGCCGCTTCCAACATGTGGCTCCCGCCTTAGCGCAGCGCACATTTGTTTCAAACGCTGGCAAGAGTTTCGCTGATTGTGTGGGCGGGTGGTTTTCAAGCTGTGGCTTCAACCATAGCGCAGCGCACATTCGATTTGAACGCTTGCAAGAGTTTCACGGATTGAGGGCGGGTGGCTTTCAACGTGTGGTTCTCGCTTTTAACGCCGCACAATTGTTTAAAGTTTGTATGTGTTTCGCGGGTTGAGGGCGGGTGGTTTTCAACTTGCGGGTCTCGCTTTAGCGCCTCGCACATTCGTTTCAAACAATTGCACTTGTTCACAGATTGACGGTGGTTTCTTTGTAACGTGTGGTTCTCGCGTTAGCGCCGCGCACAGTCGCTTCAAACATTTGCAAGGGTTTCAGTGCTTCCAACGGTTAGCGAACCATATGTGGTGCTTTAGAACGAGTCGGGACTGTCGGAGCATTTTACACTTACGTTGATTTGCGGGTGTCAAGTCACAGGAATGGTGTTCTGGCAAGATTCAGGATCGTCACGTCGCAGCAGTCTGGTTGACTCGTGGCGCTGAAATCCTGGGAATGGTGTTTTGGCACGCGTCAGGATTTTCAGACGGCCTCCTCATCCTCATCCGCCTCCTCCTCCTCCTCCGCCTCCTCCGCCTGCGGCACTGAGGCGCTGACGGCTGTAATGTCGTTCCTCCGCCGCCTCCGCCTCCTCCTCCTCCTCCTCGTCCTCCTCCTCCGCCTCCTCCTCCTCCTCCGCCTCCTCCTCCTCCTCCTCCTCGTCCTCCCCCCCCTCCTCCCCAGGGGTGTGTGTGGGGGGGGAGGCGCGGCGGATCCCTCTCTCCCCGTGGCCCCGCCCCGCCCCTGGCGCGAGGCCCGCGGGGCTCCTGCCCCCCGGCCGCCGCGTCGTCAACCTCCCCACCAGCATGGACAAGGCGGGGCGGGAGGGTCTTCTCGTGTCTGGGGAGCCTTTTGGTGGGGGTCGATGCAAGCGGGGGTCGGCCAGAGCGCCGGATCTTGCCGGATCCTGTGCAGCCAGGCTTGCACTGACCCGGGATAGTGACGCAGGATCCTGTAGGACTTTGCAGGGTCCCGTTCCTCTCAGGAGGGTAACTAGAAGGAGGACAGGGGCAACTGGAGGAGGCCAAGATGCGTAGCGAGGAGAACTCTTCTCAACCGCTAGATTCAGTTCTCAAGCGCCGCGCGGGAGGGTTCTCTTGTGTCCTGTTCTCTTCAGCAGGGCAGCCGGAGGGAGGATACGGGCAACTGGAGGAGGCGGTCTTGGGCGGTCTTCGGCGGTATTCAGAGGCCAAGATGCGTAGCGACGATGATTTTTCCTAACGTTCTCAAGCGTTGGGCGCTCTCCGCGAGTAGCTGCCCGTTTGAAGTCCTCGTGTGCTTCGATCGGTCATTCGCCTCTGCTTCGTCTTTCCCTTCTTCGTTTGTGGTCTGCTGTCGCTTGCTGTCGCCCGTCGTCGTCGTCCTCCTCCTCCTCCTCCTCCTCCTTCGTTCCCCCCCCTTTCTTGTCCTTTTTCCGCCCCTCTCAGGCCGCCGTGCGTGGAGCGCAGGGCGCTCCCCGCGCGTCCGCCTTGCAGCGCGCAGTTTTCCAAGGTCCCGGCGGCTTTCGGACGTTTTTTCGCCAGCTTCCGAGGGTTTCGGGTTTTTTCGGGGCCTGATGTTGCCTCGGGCGTGTCCCTCTACATGAAGAAAATGCAAAAATAGCCAAACAAATCGTATGGGGACGATTTGTTCGCTATTTTTGGGTATTGTTGAATATCTTTGGGGTACTTCTTGTTTTTCCTTCGAAATCCGCCTGCAGGGGGACGCCCGACCTTAGCCGAATGCGCTTTCCATCAGCTTTGCTGCGCCGAGTGCCTGGACTGTCCCAAACGGCCGCCGGAGAGTTGAGTTCTGATGCGAAAGGCAGGGGGCAACGCTAGGGGGTGCATAGGCTCACGGGTGTGTGGTGCGGGTCCTGCCTTGGCCACCCTTGGGCTCTGTTCCTCACTTCGGGCGACGAAATCCACAAGTGTCCATTTGTTCCCTGGCCAGGACCATCTTTAACCCAGGAGCTGTGTATACGCCCTCTTGGCCAAGCAAGAAGGGCGTGCCGTATACACCGCTGCTGGGTTCAGGACGGGCCTGGCCAGGGAGCAGTGGCACTGGATGTGTATAGATTTCGTCACCCCATTTTTGCACTCGTGCCTCAAATTGCTTCTGCTGCACCCCACCGCTTGCCACGACCGGCCTCTAATTGTCTTGGACCACTTGGCGCCCGCGGACGTAAAAAGTGTGGTGCGGGCCGACGCTTATGATTCACTTTTGCGTCGCGGCGCGACCAGGTTCGGCTTTCGGGTCGTGACTCGGGCCTCTGGCTGCCCGACGAGGCGCAGCTGCTGCAAGGCATCCCGAGGTGAGAAAACCTCCATGACCCGACGAGGGCTCCAGAAAGCCGCCGGGAATGGCAGAGAGCCTCCAATTTTAGTGGGTCGTCCTTGTGGCAGCCTGCCAGGGGCCAACGTCAGGGGGGGATACATATGCTGAGGGGGGAACGCGAGGGAAGTCTCCGGAGTTCCCCGCAAGTTGTGCAAGCTCGGAGGTTTTCGGGGCCCGGGGCGCTTTCCAGCAGCCTCGCCCCGTCGACGGCGTTCCGGGGCTGCCGGCCTCGCCCCGGCTGGCCGCGCGAGGCCTCACGTCATGCCCGGGTGCTGGCGGGGTCCAGCGCCACGGGGGTCCAGTGCTGACGGGGGTCAGCCCACTTCCCTCCCACCTGGGTCCGGGAGCCGGCTCCCTCCCCGCCCTCCGCCGTCCCGGGTGTGGCTTGACCGGCAGCCGCGGGGAGGAAGCTGTGCCTACCCCTGCCTGCCGGCTTCTGCTCCCAAGAAAGGTCTTCTTGTAGTTTTCTCCAGGAGCTGCATCTGGGAAAGAGCCCTCCTAGCCTTCTCGAAGAGCTGTCCGGGAAATGACCCTTGTGGCTCGCGAGAGAGCTCTCAAGGAGCTATCCTTGCCTGCCTGCAGGCTCTCTCTCTCTCTCTCTCTCTCTCTTTCTCTCTCCCTCAAATCTTTTCATATCTCTTATAGTCTGTAGCTCTTATAGCCCATTCCTCATGCTTTTTCTTCCGTCAGGCGAGCCCTGGCTTTTTGCCCTGGGGCCGGCCCAGGTTCGGGGCCTGGCCCTGGCCGACCCGAGTATCGCCGACCAGAGGGAGGGGGGGGACTGGAGGCAGGAGCGCGTGGAGGGGAGGGGCGGGGCGGGGCGGGGGAGCAGGAGGGGGAAAGGAGGGCAGAGGGGTGGGAGGAGAGACGACGACAACGACGATGATGACGCCGACGCCGACGCCGACGCCGACGCCGACGCCGACGCCGACGCCGACGCCGACGCCGACGACGACGACGACGACGACGACGACGACGACGACGACGACGTCGACGTCGACGTCGACGATGGCGGTTGCGGGGGCGGCGGCGGCGACGACGGAGCGACGACGGGGGGGAGGGCATGCGACGTGTCCCGCTGCCGTACAGAATCGGCTCGCTGCGTCAGCGAAAATCAGGCGGCGTGGGCCCCAGGTGTCGGGGGGCACCTTCCCCGATCGGTGGACCTAGCGCCTGCGCGCCAGATCCACGGATCCACCTTGGTGCGCGCCCGGCCAGTGGAAGCGGGCAGTGGGAGGGGGTGCGCGCCGCCACCCCAGACATCCAGCTGCTTCCGTTTTCTGATGCGTGGGCACCGGATGTCAGGACCACCTCCCTCGGGCCAGTCTTTCGTCCTGAGTCGTTTGCCCCGAGGCCTGGCGAGGGCCCCTGAAGGCCGAGAACGGCCAAAAACCGGCCGGCTTCGGATCTCTGGGAGGGGGGGGGCAGTCGGACGGAGCCAGGACGAGGCTAAATCCGTTCCAGAACGCTGCCACAGCGTTCGGGTACGCTCGGAGGAGGCCCTGGCGCCCGAGACATCTTCCAGAGCCGCGAGGTCTCAGAGATTCTCGAATTACCCCCCCCTTTTGTCCTCGTCCTGCCCCCCTGCGGGGGCGACGTGCACGTTCGCGAGGACGGCCGGCCTTTTCGGCGGCCGGCGCACGGGCGACGCACGGGCGACGAATGCGCGACGCACCCTTTGTCGCGAGGGGGGGGGGGTTCAGCACGCCAGTCGTATTACTGGGCCTTAACATGGGTACGGGGGATGGATGGAGGATTGGGAGGCATGGGGGATCGGCGAGAGGCGGGGAGCGCTGGTCGGCGCTCCCTTCCGGGGTTCCGCCTCCACGGCGTGGGGGAGGGGGGCAAAAAGAGGAGGCGGGGTGGGACGACGAAGGGGGGAGGGGGGAGGGGGGAGAATCAGCATTGGGGAAGGAGGAGGCGGAAAGGGGGAGGAGGAGGGGGCATGAGGAGTTGGAATGGGGAGGGGGAGGAAGGGGAGGACGGGGGCGGGGAGAGAGGGGGGGAAGGGGGGGGACACTGATGTTGTTGATGGTGCTGGTGTTTGTGGGTTTGGTGCGCATGAAGATGATGCTGATGATGATGATGAGGATGGCAATGATGATGAGGATGACGATGCTGATGGTGACGATGCTGGTGGTAATGGTGATGCTGTTGATGCGGATGATAAGGATGATGCTGCTGATGTTTGTGTTGATGATGCTGATGATGATGGGCGTGACGATGATGACGATGTCGATGACCATGATGACGATCACGATGACGATTATGACAATGATGCTGCTGATGATGGTGATGATGATGACGATGACGGTGGCGATGTTGATGATGATGTTGATGATGACGATGATGACGATGATGACGATACTGATGATGGTGATGATGATGCTGCTTGTGTTGATCATGGTACTATCGGTGGTGATGATGATGAATATGATGAGGGTGATGATGCTGATGCGGATGCTGATTATACAACCGATGATAAGGATGCTGCTGATGATGATGGTGCTGCTGCTGATTATGCTGGTGCTGCTGATGATGATGGGGATGAGGATTATGATGATGATGGTGACGACGAGACAGGGATACTATGATTTACCTCCACACACATCAACAGTTCGAGCGCTCACCCTCTCGAGATTGCAAAAAAACTGGACACATATGGTGTGGCTGGCCTGGGCGATGGCTGGAAGGATCCTTGGCCACGTGTCTCTCCAGCGCTCGGCCCTTGTATGGCCAGGCATTCTGATCCTCCACATGCTTGTACAGCAAGCGGCATCCGCATGCTCCGCATGCGAACCCCGCCGTGTGTTTCCAGTTTCCTGGTGTCCCTTCGTGCTTACCTTCTTGCAGTAGCAGGCAGTCGCAACAGCGGTACCGCTTCGAACACATGTTGATTGAATGTAAACCACATAGGTTTAGGCGCCATTCGGTGCGCGTCAGGGCCGATGAAACATCCACGCGTCGGCCTTGCGATGTGAGGTGGAGTGCCATGAGAGTTTTATTTTAACTAGTAGAGACGATTGTTTCGTTAGTGCGTGTTTGTTTGGTCAGCTTTTGGTCTGGCTGTAGCAGCATGGCGCGACAGGGCCAGCGTGACGCCAAGGATGTATGTTTTTCTTGCTTGATGCCAGTCGCATCGGCAATGAACAAGCTACCAAGGATCTCTGGTTGGCGGATTCCTCTGGAGGTTCTGAGCTCCCTCATCGGTCCAAGGCCGAAATTGTCAAACCATCATAGAAGGACCACTTGACATCACATCCAGACCTTTTCCCTTTTTCCCAGCGGGGCTTGCCCAGAGGTTCCCTACTGTCTGCTTGATGCAGGAGGCATCCTGCCGCCTGCTGGCATCCTGAAGGTTCTGCACAAATATTGCCCCAAGAACCCTCTTGTCAAAACGCAGAGTCCCCGTGGGCTTTATTGGAGGCAGGTAAGCATTAAAAGCCTTCCTTAAAGAGCCAAAGTGCATAAAAAAACAGCCCGATCCCAATTGAGCAGATGGTGCAAAAAGACCCCGCGCGCTCGAGGCCTAACCAACGTCGAGCCTGCTGCGAAACAAAGTATTGGAAACCAGCAAATCTAGCGGTTCACTTATAGCTGGCGTCGCCCCTTCCAGCCCGCTCTCCCCAGTCCTCTCCAAACCCCTCCAGTCCGCTCCAGCCACCTCCAGCCGCGTCATTTCCTTCCAGCCCCCTCTATCCCCCTCCAACCTCCGCCATCCCTGTTTTGGCTTTGAAGGGCTCTAGGAGGCCTTCGGATCTCTCGCAGGCTTCCAGAGGGCTTCCTTGGAGACCTCCAGAGACCTCCCGATACCTCCGCGGGGATCCCTCCTGGAACCTCAGACATCCCAGCACCTCCAACGACCCCTGGGGACTTCCGCAGAAGGCGTCTCTCCGGCCGCCCGCAGCAAGTCCCACCAACTCCCGTGGGCAAAACGCACATCCGTAGTCGCGGCCTCTCGGGCCAGGCGTCTGGGCCGCGATTGCGGGTGCGGGGCGTTTCTTCGCGGATGCCCGGCGCGGAACGTATCCGTGCGACTGGCGCCCCGGAGTCCAGACCGGGAGAGCGCAGATGCAGATAGGCTCGCCGCTCGTGAGACCTCTCCGCCAGCCAAAACCTTCCTATACCTTGCTGAGTCCAGTGATGTCAATCGATCCCCACTGATGTCAATCGATCCCCACGGGCACCCAACTTTCTCATCCCCACCCCCTGCGCCTCAACGCATCCCGCCGCATCTTTCTCCCCCTTCCTCCTTTCCCCCTCTGGCGGCCGAGTACCATGGCTTTCTGTTGGAGGCGGCACGCGGCGTCGAGAGATCGAACGCCATCCATCCGCTCCTGTATCTCAAGCTGCGGCGCAGCATGGCTGCGGTGACGTGCAGCGCTCGAAGCCGGAAGCCTCGTGTTGGTGGGCCGTGTCGCGATAGCAAGATACGCGGCGGAGAGCCAGGGGGGGAAGTAAGAAGGGGCGGCCTTCTCAGAAGGCTCGGAAGTCCCCGGGCCTTTGAGAAGTTTCCCTAGCCTTCCCCAGAGACACAGGGAATTTCCCAGAAGGCGGGAAGGCTTCTGAGAAGTCCCGCCGCCTTCTGAGAAGGCCTTCTCCTTCTCACTTCCCCCCTCGCTCGCCGCCGAGCAGTGCTCGAAACTGGACGCCTCGTGTTGGTGGGCCGTGCCGTGAAAATAACATCTCCGCCAGCCTCCCCCCGCCAAGGAAAGGCTCAGGAGACACAGGGAACTTCTCAGAAGGCGCGAGGGCTTCTGAGTAGTCCCGCCGCGGAGCAGACTCCGACCTCCTCCATCTCCTCCTCCTCCTGCTCCTCCTCCTCCTCCTTCTCCTCCTTCTCTCTTCCTCCTCCTCCTCCTCCTCCTCCTCCTCCTCCTCCTCCTCCTCCTCCTCCTCCTCCTCCTCCCCCGAAGGACAGGCCCAGGAGGATGCCGGAGCTCGTGTCCGCGAAAGGCTACGGCGACGAGGGCCTTTTTGACGGCTGGTGAGCCCGGGTCGCCGCGCCGCGCGGCGGTCTTCGACGGCGGGCGGGCGACGCTCGAGGCGAGAGGTGCCCAGCGGCTCGCCTCAGTGCCTGGGGGCGCAGGAGGAGGAAGAGGAGGAGGAGGAGGAGGAGGAGGAGGAGGAGGAGGAGGAGGAGGAGGAGGAGAGGTGCCCAGCGGCTCGCCTCAGTGCCTGGGGGCGCAGGAGGAGGAAGAGGAGGAGGAGGAGGAGGAGGAGGAGGAGGAGGAGGAGGACCAGTGTGGACCCAAGAGTCGTCAACGATGTTGGACTAAAACCCTCCCTCCAAGCTCCTTCTTCATAGGGCCCTACAGGGAATCATTTCCACTGAGGGAACTGCCTCGTTGGAAAACAACCGCTTGAAGACCCTGAAGCATGCCAAAACATTATTCTCGGGACTCCAAGGCCCAGGATCAACCTGACTGTTGCGTCTTGACGATCCTGAGTCCGTTCCTGGGACTTCAATACCGCGAATCAACGTACCTGTCGCGCCCTCATAGTCCCGGATCTTCTCAAAACACCGCATCTGGTACGTTGATCACTGGAATCCGTGGAACTCTTGCAACTTTTAAAAAGGAATGTGCGCGGCGCTAAGTCGAAACGCTCGGCCCGCCCTTTCGACCAGCCTCGGGGTGCGACAGGGAGAAGCTATGTATAAGGACAAGGAATAGAGGAGGAGGAGGAGGAGGAAGAGGAGGAGGAGGAGGATGAGGATGAGGAGGAGGATGAGGATGAGGATGAGGATGATGATGATGATGATGATGATGATGATGATGATGATGATGATGATGATGATGATGATGATGATGATGATGATGATGATGATGATGATGATGATGATGATGATGATGATGATGATGATGATGATGATGGATGGTGATGGTGATGGTGATGGTGATGTGATGGTGGTGATGATGCTGATGATGATGATGAGGGATGATAAGGATGAGGATGAGGATAAGGATGAGGATGATGAGGATGAGGATGAGGATGAGGATGATGATGATGATGATGAGAGGAGGAGGAGGAGGAGGAGGAGGAGGAGGGGAGCAGGAGGAAGAGAAGGGGAGGAGGAGGAGGGAGGAGGAGGAGGAGGAGGAGGAGGAGGAGGAGGAGGATGGAGAGGAGGTAGAGGAGGGAGAGGGGGGAGAGGAGGCAGGAGAGAGGAGGAGGGAGGAGGGAGAGGATGGAGGAGGGAGAGGAGGGAGGAGGGAGAGGAGGGAGGAGGGGAAGAGGGGAGGAGGGAGGATGAAAAGAGGGGGGAGGAGGGAGGAGGGAGGCGGGAGGAGGGAGGAGGGAGGGAGGAGGGAAGGAGAAGGGAGGGAGGTACGGACGAAGGGAGAAGAAAGAGAACAGGCAGACGAGAGAGAGAGGGATGATGATGATGATGATTGATGATGAGATGATGATGATGATGATGATGATGATGATGATGATGATGTTGATGTGATGATGATGATGTGATGATGATGATGATGAGGATCAGGAGGCGGATGATGATGATGATGCTGATGATGATGCTGATGATGATGCTGCTGATGATGTGATGAGGAGGTGGAGGAGGAGAAGAGAAGGAGGAAGAGGAGGAGGCGGGGGAGAGGAGGAGGAGGAGGAGGAGGAGGACGAGGAGGAGGAGAAGGAGGAGGCGGATGATGATGATGATGATGATGATGATGATGATGATGATGATGATGATGATGATGATGATGATGATGATGATGATGATGATGATGATGCTGATGATGCTGATGATGCTGATGCTGCTGCTGATGATGATGATGATGATGATGAGGAGGAGGAGGAGGAGGAGGAGGAGGAGGAGGAGGGGAAGGAGGAGGAGGAACAGGGAGGAACAGAGAGGAGGAGGATGAGGAGGATGAGGAGGAGGAGGAGGAGGAGGAGCAGGGAGGGGAGGCAGGGATGGAGTGATGGAGGAAGGGATGGGGCGGGGGAGCTTCCTGCCGCTCCTTCTGCTCCCTGCTGCTGCTTCCACACGTTTCCTTGCTCGCGCCCCTCAACGTATTTGTTCGGTCGCCCAAGCTGGCCCACCCAACGACCGAGCTCCCCTGAGATCCGACGTTGCGAAAAATGCAACATCGCAAGGCATCACGACCAGAGCCCTGGACCCATCTGTCTGCGCCATTTTTCGAGCCGGATAGATCTGTGAGGGCCCTGGGGCCTGAGCCTTGACGAAAACGCCCGCTATGAAAAAATGCAACGCCAGGATCTCAGGGTCTGTGCTCCCAATCTTCGCCCTTTCTGCCCCGTGCCCAAGTTCGGCGCTCGCTCGACCGATCGCGCTTCTGCGCTCCCCGCCTTTTTGCCCTCCTGCCATGGGCCTGGGCGCCCAGATCCGGCGGTCCAGGATTCTGGCTTCTTGGAGGCCTCCTTGGAGGTCTCGCAGGCGTCTTGGACCATCTTGGAAGCCATCTTGAGCCATCTTGCGCTATCTTGAGCCATCTTGGAGGTCATCTTGGGCTCGCTGAGGCGCTCTTGGAGCAGTCTTGGGTGAAAAAGTACCCTCCGACCGCTCGCGAAACCCTCCGTCCAGGTCCAGGGGAGGGGTTAGGGGGGAGGGGTAAACCCTTCCCCGAAGGGGAAGAAAGGGGGTGGAAGAGGAAACTCCCTAAATCACCTACGCCCAGAGGGCTGGTGAGATTTCTGCCTCTGTGGGCCCTCTTGGTCTGTCTCTTGGAGCCCTCTTGGGGCGTCGTGACGGCGCTTTAGGCTGTCTGGAGGCCATTTTGGCGTCTTGGATCGCTCTTGGTACTGGGACCTGGGAACCTGGTCAGGAGTTTGCCGGGACCTTGACGGGTTTTCGTCCAGAGACCCCCAGGGGCGGCCCCGCGCGCACGACTTAGAAATTCTGGAAAGAGCGTGTTCTGCCGCTGCTGGCAGAAAACGGGGGGGGGGTCACTTGGGGTTTCAAACTGGGGAAAGTTGGGACTATGCGACAGTGGTGGGGACAGTGGGGACAGTGGTGGGAACAGTGGGGACAGTGGGACAGAGGTGTGAATAGAACCCGTGTAATACCTTCATATATACTCCTTATCCTCACCTCTCCTGCGCCTGGCCGTTTGGGCTCAGGTATTGGGACAGATCGATCAGACCTTTGATCGTGCAGGAGGGAAAGACATCCATCTATCCCTCCTTCCCTCTACCAACGGATCAGGGGTTCTGTACCCTTGTACTTCAACCCCATACACAGGTTATCAGCCCTTTAAAGCTCACCGTTCATCGAACCGCACGTCGCGACCTCGCACGCGGCCTCGATGGAACCCAAGCGGCGCATGCGCCGCAAGGGGTCCATCGGGGCCTCGCGTACGAGCTCTCCGACGGCGCGACGGCTCGGTGATGAGTTGGAGAGCCTTAGTGCGGACTGTGTTGGTGTCCCAGGTACCCCCCCCCCAGCTCCGACGGACCCGAGGCGCGGCTAGCTGCTGAACTTCACCGCAGCGCCGCCCGCGGGGGGACAGGAGAAGGAGTAGGAACAGGAAGGAAGGAATTTCACACGCCTACCTTCGATCCTCCATCTCCTCCTCAGTCGGGAGCAATCCCAACTGCGTCAGGCGAAAGCCTCACTGGTCCTGATACTCCAGGTCGCTCTCGCGCTAACCGCCGATGGACCTCAGGTGCTGGTACCCCCAGCCCTGCGACCGTTCCTGTTGCGGAGCACGTAGCCACCTTCGAGGAACTCAGTAGACCAGTGGCGGCACAGCCGCAGACGCAGTACCCCAAGGTATCATCGGATGAGACACCACACACACATGGTCCGAGTCGCAGCTCGTCCGCGCGCAACCGTCGTGGGGCCCCAGGCCCATGCGGCGAGAGGAGGTCGAGCCCGCGTACTGCCTCTCAGAGGCCATGCGCTCCCCGTGACAGGGGACACAGGGACGCTGACGCTCCCCACCTTTCCATCTCAGACGACCAGCTGGCGGAAACGTCCGCCGCAGGTGAAATAGCTGAGCTCAGAGACCAGGTTGAAACCTTCGTGTCCAGGCAATGCTCTGGACTACTGCAGAGCGTTCAGACGAACGCCGCCGATACTGCAGCCATACGCCACGATCTGGACGGCGCCTTAGGGATCATTGATTCCGGGATCGCCGAAGATCGACGCATCATAGGTGAACTGCAGTACCAGGTTGATCGTGAGGTGTCACACTCAGGTGAACGAACGGCGATGGTCGAGAACCTGCGCAACTACCTCGCGCAGATGGAGCAACAGCTTGTGCTCGTACGCGACATAGGCGTTTCAGCAGTCAGGATTTTACATGATGAGATCCACGACCAGCTCCGCAACCGACCAACACCAGCCGAGGCCACCGACCTTGGCGACGTTCAGTCTCAGATCAATGATCTTCGATCCTACCTAGACCACGCTACGGCGACGCTTCGCAACGAAGCACACACTAACTCGTCGAACCTGATCGACATGTTGCAGCGTACTGAGAGAGTCATCACTCAAAGGCTTGATGCGACCCACGCTGTCGTGCAGCCACTCGCTAACCGGATCTCTGAAATCGAGCAGCGTTTTCCTGATGTACAGGACGCCCTGGCAGAGTTGCGTGTCGGACGAGCCCAGACTGGCCAGCTGGATTCTCCTCCCACGGTTTACGATTTCGCCCGCCTCACTGACAGGTTGCAGGAGGTTGAGAAGGCAGCGGACCACGCGCAGTTGGAGCTCTCCCAGGTTATTCGTGAGAGAGATACTGAGAGGGTACGTGTTAAGGGGCGCCTCGCACGTCTGGAAAGCGAGCTGGAGGCAGAAAGCGCCCGTCTCCGAGCATACGAGCAACGACTTGATCGGTATTCACAACGTTCTCGGGATACTGATGAGTACACACGCCAAAAGGTGGCCCAAATACACGAAGATGTGACGAGCTGGACGAATCAGCTGATCGACCACACCAACGACGCCAATCTCCACCTTCGACCTGCAACCGACCTGCACAGGCCGACGGCAGCGTCCGCCGAAGCACCACAAGCCTCTGCAGGACAACAAAGACAGACTTCACCAGGAGCAGCCTCCGCGGCAGCTTCTGCACAGACACGCCATGTGTCTCCTGTGCGCACAGAACCGACTACTGACGGT